TTGTTGTTAAAATATGTTTTTACACACGCCTTTCATCCACAAATGTATCGATTAATGATGTAATATTTCTCTACTACCTTACTAAAAAACAATTCATACTTGACGCCCCAAAATTAACTTATTTCCCTTGATCTATCGATTTCTCAAAATATTTGACTAAAATAACCAATAGCGCCAGGATATCACCCCCCGCCCCTTTTTTCCATCCCGTAATTTTACTATGTAAGCTTTTCGCTTGGGGAAAAAAAATGCTCGTCGTTGTTTACTAAAATACTACCTACATCAGCATCATCGTCGTCGCCGATTTCTTCTTCTTTCTCCTCTTCCTCTCTTCTAGTTCTTGTTGTTTTTGTTGTTGCTGTTGTTGTTGTTCTTCTTCTTCTTTTCCTCCTCCTTCTCCTCCTTCTTCTTTTCCTCCTTCGTTTTCTCTTCTTCTTCGTCTCTTCTTCCTTTTTCTTCTCCGCCTCATCCTTCCGCATCCTCTTCCTTTTTTCTACGTCTCCTCCTAATTCTCCTCATTTTTCTTCTTCTTCTTCTTCTTCTTCTTCTTCTTCTTCTTCTTCTTCTTCTTCTTCTTCTTCTTCTTCTTCTTCTTCTTCTTCTTCTTCTTCTTCTTCTTCTTCTTCTTCTTCTTCTTCTTCTTCTTCTTCTTCTTCTTCTTCTTCTTCTTCTTCTTCTTCTTCTCCTCCTCCTCCTTCTTCTGTTTCCTCCTTCTCCTTTTGCCCCCTTCTCTTATATCCACTACCTCGTTGCCTTTCTTTTAGTATCCCCCACATAAAAAATACTCATACAAATGCATTATTATTCCACTAACATATAAAAGGAATGATCAAAGATTTTCTTTTGCTATAATTCAGCACCCACAGTTAGCGACACTGGCGCAACTAAAAAAAAAAAACACGATAACATAGCAAGAGGGATTAACTGATTAAAATACATTGTACATTCAAGTGAGTGAAATAGCAATTTCCTTCCACTTTGCGGAAGACAACCAACTATTACTCCCTTCGTCGTTTGATGGCAAATGTGGGAAATAACGATGATTAGTGTGATGAAGCGAAGCAAAGAATTACTTACTTTTTTAAAAGTATGGAACTGATGGGCACAGAAGGCTTCTCTTGAGGCATGTCAAGCAATGACGCCGTTTGCACAACCGCAGCCATTTTCTCCTCAGATTTAACGTCCTTTTTCCCTAACGAAGATTTTCTAAAAATACTGCCAAATCTAGAAGTGCGTTTATTAACTAGATCTTTGTACTTCGGGTCTAATTTGAACTCATTGTAGTCTTCACTGATCATGACTTCTTCCATTGCTTTCCCTTTCAATTTCTTTTTGACCATTCTGGGTCTGAATCTGAAGAAGAGATGATTAATCTTTCAGTTATTAGTGACTATAAATTATTATCATCACAGTACTCCAGACAGATCCATGGGAGCTCCGATCTCCTCCTCATAAGTTCCACAAGTGTAAAGAGACTGATGACGCCTGTTCTGTGTTGGTTAATAAAATGTTTTGTCCCCTTAGTGAAATGTTTATTTCTTGCAGCTCCAGGCTGAACCTCCATGTCCATCAGTCTAGACAGGGATACGGAGTCATGTCCTTTGGCGTGATCCTCGGTACGGTAAGTGCAGCGCTTGGCATTGATAACATCACTTCTGTCTAGTACTGGGCCAGCCATAGCAGTGTCAGAAACATAGTCTGTATGTTCGTTCTCTTAAACACCAGCATAACATGGCACAAATATGAAGGTTAGGGCAGATATCCGTGAAGTGTTTAGTGATGCAATCCATTCTTGCCTGAAAAATCTAGCTTGGAATTTTCTGAGTCGCTAAGAATGCATACATGTGTGAACTTTTGAGAACCAAGCCATGCTAAATCTTTCAGTGTTGTTATATAGTAAGTGCGGTTTAGTCTTTATAAACGCGCTTCATAATTCCGAAACATCCTGCTAGATTTCTGTTGCATACGATTTGGCAGTAGGCAGCTTTGTGTTCTACAGTGGTATGAAGATGGCCATTTTGAGGCAATGGTATTTTACTAAATGTACTATTGTTTCGTAAAACCAAACACAGCAAAAACTTGCTTCACTTGGTTCTGCAACATCCCCTTAACGGATGCTAAACTAGCTTATATATATATATATATATATATATATATATATATATATATATATATATATATATATATATATATATAATGGAGGAGGAGCAAACAAGCAAGTCACTATAACAAGGGCAGGTAGGTTAATGGGACAGGGTGCAGTGCTTATCCCTTTTCACGCCTCAGGCACAGCGGGCATATGAGAAGAAAATCCATATATTTACAGACCAATCGGCACTATGTGGGTAAGGTGGTCAGCATTACGCCGGCCGTCTTTACATCCCTAGGACACATATCCTGGTACCAATTGTAGGATGATCGACCTTCTATGCCCCATACCATGATAAAAACATCCTCAAATGAAGCCAAACATTACCGTTTATTTTTCTCTTATATAACCCCATCGGCAGATAAGTCACCCGCCACCTGTCACCCGCCACTTTAGAGAGAATTCTTCGCCTGCAAAATATCAATTTGCACCCCCCCCCCCTTTTCCGAGGAATAATACTACAGAGATATCAGTTTGCTTAAGTATCGATTTATACACTAGCATCTTCCGGAAAAACCAATAATTCGTGACGTCATCACCCTCCCGATCGATATTTACTAAGGATAAAGAGGAAGGGTCCTACACCCTCCGGGGAAAAACCAATTACTTGTGACGTCAGACGGCAGCCATCTTTTATTAAGGACAAAGAGGGAGGATGGAGAGAAAATTGATACAAATACGGCCTATAAACGCCTCATACTCTACTAAGGATTCTTATGTGGTTGTCGTGTTTATTTTTTTATTTCATAGATAATGCTGTCCTGATTGGTCAACAAAATGTAAGTCTAGCACCATTTACCCGATTGCAGCGGCTAGACGCTCGCTTGTGGGTCGGAAGGTGGCGGGTTAAGGTCTTGACGGAACCCGGACCTAGTTTCCTAGGTTGACCCATTTTAAATCGGTACCAGGTTCAGTTCTGGGAAGTAAAGGCGGTCGGTGTGACGGTGATCCCATCGCCCACTGAGTGCCGATTGGTCTATAAAATATTTGTCTAGCCCTATAGAGGAATACAATATACAATAGAGGAAATAGAAGTACTCGGTGAATTTGGAGTTGACATATTAACTAAACTGTCTAATGATATTTTGAGCAGTGGAGATATACCTAATGATATGTTGAAGTCTGTATTTATAGCACTACCTAAAAGACCTGGGGCAATCGAATTTGACGAATTTTGTATAATCAACCTGATAGACCATGTCACCAAACTATTACTCAAAATTATGATGGAAATAACTAAAAATAAAATAACATTGGAAATTAGCGAAGAGTAGTATGTTTTATAGAAGGGAAAGGTACAAACAAGGCAATATACACATTGCGAACATTGGTAGAGAGATCAATGGAGAAACAGAAATACTTTATAGTGCTTTATAGATTATACCAAAGCTTTTGGTAAAGTGAAATATAATGAAATTATAAAATTGTTGGAGGATATTAACATTGATGGAACAGATTTCAGAATAATAAAAAATGTTTACTGGAAGCAAGAAGCAACAATTAAAATGTGTAATAAAGTAGGCAGTTGCGAAAAGATAAAGCAAGGAGTGAGACAAGGGTGTGTTTTGTCACAGGATCTCTCTCTCTCTCTCTCTCTCTCTCTCTCTCTCTCTCTCTCTCTCTCTCTATCTCTAGTGAAATAACAACGAGGGAGGTTAGGATACACCAGGAATACTAGTTGGAGGTTATAATATAAACAATCTTCGTTATGCAGGTGATGTAGTATTAATAGCTGAAAGCGTTGAAGACCTACAAAAGCTATTAGACATTATTCTACTAGAGAGTGCCAAAAAGGGACTCTTTTTGAATATGAAGAAAACGGAAACAATGGTTATATCAAAAAGGAAGATAACTCCAAAATGTAACATAGCAAAAGAAATGAAAGTGCTTAACCAGGTTAACAAATTCAGACGGACTGTGATATAAATTAAGAGCAGTATTGGCCAGACAAAAGCAGCTTTTCAAAAGATGAAAAGCATTTTATGTAATAAATAACTCGCCCTGAACATCATAAAACGAGTATTGAAATGTTATATCGAGCCTGTTCTGTTGTATGGTAGTGAATCTTGGAATGTAAGCAAACAGATTAAGAAGAGTTTGGAGGCACTGAGATGTGTTTCTTGAGAAGAATGTTGAGAATACCTCGGACTGCCAGAATAACCAACACTGAATGCCTTAAAATGACTAATGAGAGTGGGACATTATATACACATATATAAACACAATTCTTTGGTCATGTAGTGAAAAAAAGGAGCACTGGAAAATACCGTGACGACTGGAAAGATCACTGGTAGAAGAGGCAGAGGCTGACCAAGAGAAAAGATGGTGGGTGGCTTAAGACAGTGGCATGGAGGAATATCATCAATAGAACACCAAAGACTGAGATCCGTGGCGTGAACTCCTAAGCTAGCTGGCAAGGCACTTGGTGATGAGCCATATATGCCCACATCTGAAGGCGTCTAGAATGTCCTTTACACTACCTAGTAGTAATCGTATATTATGAGTAGACTCCCAATTACGGAAGAATTTAGTAAGCTTGGAAACTCGACTGATAAACCAAAATATATGGTAACTGTCCCTACCTGTCAAAGAATGAAATGGTTCGAACATCTAGTGTAAATGCAGCTTGACCATACTGCATATGAGATTTTTTGCATTAGAACATCTGTAAGGAAGGCGAGAGGAAGAGCAAGAAAGAGATGGATATATGGTGTAGATGAAACCTACACAAAGCTGAACAAATCTGTCACTTAAACACCCGATTTAGCGCAAGATAAATACAGAAAACCACGACACTGTGTTACAATCTGGTAACAGTGAGACAACTAAATAAGAAGGAAGAAATTCCTACCTGTAGGCACTTATGGGTCTCAACAAAAGGCCAGCAAAAGTCATATGGAATTCAATGCCGGCCAGAACAATGAAAGTACCGCTAATACCGTACTGTTTTCTGATGATCCTTATGGCAGGTGGGACTATGATGACAGCAGCGCTCTGCCCAACGTTGGCAATTATCTGGGCTATGGAACGCCTGTTCTGAAAATACAGCCGGATGAGACTGATACTGGGCACAAATACTGCACCAGTGGCCAATCCTGAGGAAGTAATTGAGCAATTAATTAATGTAAATAATGCGGACAAAAAACAATACACTGCACAATTTATTGCTAGGCATATTTCGATGTATGGGGTGTTATGAATGAATTAATACTCGTACATTGACATTATTGAACTTGCGACATTTCAACATGTGTTATGCCTCCCTTTCTTTGCAGTCAACGATACAATCTCATGTTTGTAGGGAATGCTTCCCTGTGTAAGTTATAGGGCCCCATTGAGAGGGAAAAAAAGAATAGATCTAATGCCTTCACGCACACAAAAAACAACGTCTCGTATGAGTGGAATAAGAGGGAGCCGCGAGTGGGGGTAAGGCGGGGGAGGGGGTGTTCCTTTGAAGTCGAAATGCATCTGCCAAAGACGCAAGGAACCAACAGCCTGCATAGAAGTAAGTCAGATTTTTAAAACAGATTTCATGGCCACATTCATGTTTTGGAACACGACTTAAATTAGGAGGTGGACGACCAACCATAACTTTTCACTGGAGGTTACAGCCGGTGAACGCGAAGAAGAGAAGAGGAAGAAAAAAAGAAGAAGATATGGAATACCCACGTTAAAGGTGCCAGCTGCAACCAGATTAAGATTAGGTCTTTTTTTCTCCATGCGCATTGAATATCATCCAGACTCTCTACTAATCGCTGATTTGGTTTCCTCATATAATATGTTCTTTGCACTGTCCACTTGATTCTTGAGAACCTTCATCATGAAAACCTCATCTTAAGTAGCTCGCGCATGCCCGGCTCGATAGTTCAGTTGTTTAAAACCCTCTGTGGGGTGACCGGGTGACGAATTCCTTGTGGTCCTGGTTCAAGCATGGGGGTAGGCAGAAAAGCCACATTTCTCCCAGATTGACGGTACCAATCATGGAATCAGGACCGAAGGGTGGCAATTTCTATGGTAACGAGCTAAAGGGTTTACAGCTCATGGTTTCTGGATGCTGGGGGGGGGGGGGGGGGGGGAGGGGATAGTAGCTAACGTTTGCGCGGCAGCAAACACGTCGCCCAGCCTGCTCATTGCCCTGTACCTCCGAATATCCTGGGCATAAAATCCGAAATTCTGCTTTGTGATCTTAGGCTTATCGAGTGACACGCCACTCTACAGTCACGCTATAGTGGAAAGATATTAATCAAGTCAGACGAAAAGTAGAACAAGTTGTTGTTGTTGTTGTTTTCGTTCACTGGTTAAAACTCCAATGGAAAGACTTAGTTGTTCTTCCATTTCTGGACTTTGACTTCGTTCCAGGACCTGAGTTTTGCGTGTGCATCTGTTTTACAGATCTGACTTATTTGTATGCAGATTGCTGGTTCCTTGCCTCTCATGCAGATGCACTCCGACTTCAAAGGAAGCTCCCAGTTAGTTGACTCTTACGACATGCTTCTTGGGGTGGGATTAGAGGCAGTGGGTCTATTCTTGTTTTCCCTACAATGGGGCCCCGGAACCCACAAAGGGGAGTAGAACAAGTGAGCTTGACAATATCACAGACGCCAAATGACCGTCGTAAAACATATAAATGGGATAAAATAAAGGGATATGATATTGGACATGTATATACAAACAAGAATTTAGCTTCAAATGAAAATAGACACAAATTATTTATTTTAAAAACAATGACCCATTTCTTTACAAAGGTATCATTTTATTTCGATGTAAAATAAAATTACTACAGTATATTTATTTATATACTATTATTTAATTACATATTATACATAGACACGGTCCTGATGAAGATACAGATTTATAGCTGTTTTTTTTTATATATCACAAAGAAAAGGTTCTGTTTATACATACTCATCATTCGTTAAGGAAGTAATTATATTTTTTCGTAATGTTATTTGACATCGTTTTCAAAAGATAATGGTAACTACTGGACGTAAATTTGCCTAGAAAAACCACACCAATAAGGGATTGGTTCTGCAAAGTCCTGTAAATGATACGCAACTAACCTAATACAAAGATATATTTGTCAAAAAAAAAATTTTTTTAATACTTGGTTCCATCTACTTACTAAAGCTGTTTTCTTGTTTCATGTTAAGTGCCATAAATTTCAATTTGACAGTAGTTTGAATCTGGGTCAACTCACCTTTGAGAACCGACATCAAAATGAAATAGCCAATTGACGGAGAAAAAGACAAACCCAGTGAACCGCACATATTGAAAAATCCGGCAACGGAGACAACAGCTCTCTCGCCAAATCTCGGTGCTAGAAAATTGGTCGAGACGATAGCTGAGGACGG